TATTTTGAGTAAATTCAAATGATTAGTAATAATAGATAACTAACTTAATTAGTTCTTATTTGGATTGTTCGATAACTCAGTTCGATTGCTCGTTTGAAATTTTCTCCTCGATGTTTATAACGCTAATATCATTAACCGACCATCACATATTAAAAAATCCAAATATGTCAAATAAAAGTTAGTAAAAAGACAAAAAAGAGTGACTTTAAGACGAAAAGAAGTAAACATTGATATCTCAAAACTAATGATTAACCATTGATTAAAATAATTATGTAAGTCACGAAACAATGTAATTTTATAATTTGACTGCACGGTTGGTGCGGTGGCTGGGCAACCGGCTGCCGCGCAACGTGTCGCGGGTTCGATTCCCGCACGGAACAACACTTTGTGTGATCAACAAATTGTGGTTTCAGGTCTGGGTGTCATTGTGTATGTGAACTTGTATGTTAGTAAACACACCCACGACAAAAGAAAATCCTAATGTGGGGCAACTTTAAAAATATATATATTATATAAAATAGATATTTTACGTCCCCATGAGCCGTCTATCCCACTATACTTAGAGACTAGCCTCATCAGTTGAATACCGCATCCAGGTAGTAAAAAAGTACCGCACACGGTAACGACGCGGTGCCGAGCACATATTTGTGAACGGTACCGATCACTTAGGCAGTCTGTTTGGTGGAGTCGTACCGTCATTCGTGTCAGGTGCGCTGCCAACGGTACATTGTTTGACGACGGTGCTGACCCTACCTGTGATGGTGTAATACATCAGCGGGGACGGTAATAAAACTAGTAGTAAATTGAAATAAGCAAATGTCTGAAGGAATTCCTTGATTTATTTTTTCTTGTCTTGCTGATAGAATATTTTCTTGTTTGTTGTTTATTCATCAATTATTATTCATTAACAATCTATTAACTAATAGGGTAATTCCGCTTCTGTACAAAAACGGACCTTCTCTATATGGGTGCTATAGTGCTATTTTGATAAAATCACATACATCCATACAAACATACATGTATACATACATCTTTCAACTAAATCCGTTCTGAAATCATAAATACCAATTAATTTGAAAATTCTAAAAATCCATTGTATTTTCCAATGGTCTACAACACCGCCGCAGCCTCTCACTTGGACCACACACTGCTACTAAGGTGTCAAGTCAAACGCTGCGGCCGGTAACAATGTAGTGTTACACGGTGCATTACCATCAGTTATTCTGAACCAAAGGTTAATTGAACCTTGTTCCACTGTTATTGGTTAACTAGCTAGTTACTCTATTGTTGTGTTTCTACTTCTACTTTGTCCGTAGTCTAGTATTTGTTTAATTCATTGAGAATTTTTACAGATGTCATGTTACGACTATAGCCCGGTAATAAATACTAAGATTATTTATGTACTAAAACATCTTTCTACATTGCCGTTACACTCATGTCGTAATTCGACAGTAAAGCTCAATCTAATTCAATATCAAATAATATACCTGATACCGAAAATTTTAGATACAAATATGAAATTAAAAATAAAAAGATTTTGATAGCTTTATAATCTAGTGTTTTTGCTTAGATTACATCATTCAAAAATACAGATACACAGTTTTACAATTATATAAACAGTCATTTCGCATTTACCGCCAAAAATCAAAGTGGCATCTTGGATTTCCCAATTCATATTTATATTGAACCGTGTCTCTTAAAGTTAGTATTTGGATAATGGGTTGACATGTCCACATGACCACATGTCCACAGCTGGTCAGGCCACACAAGGCTGCTACTCTAACGGCACATTTCCTCTCATTATAGACCTCACCTCGCCGGAAACAAGCGCTCAATGCGCGCCATCGTAAATACCGATCACTTCCTGCAAATTTTCAACATTTAATATTTTTTGATAAATATCTCTTGAGATTTAATGTTTCTTTTATTATTGTGGGAATTTGTTACTGTTTTTTATTTTGACCATTTGTAGAGGATATTACTCCATTTGCACCAGTTCAATTGCAAATATTATGCAATTTTTGAATTGAATAATGTCATATATATCACATGTAATGTAAAAACAATAATTATTTAAAACGATTTTATGCACCGAGGAAACACACCCAGTTTAAAGAACGAAAGAAACCGACCTGACTAGACTTTTAAAATGCAAAAAACACTTTTTGTTGTCATGGTCTCAACTATTGTAGAATTTATGGAAATCCCCACATTATTGTTAAGAGGTTAGACCTCATAAAAACGTTTCAAATCCTTCGCCAAATTCAAAATCGATAGTTAATTCAGATAATCTCCAACAACGTTTACACCCACACCTTATCCAAAATATGCATAAATCTGCCAAAAAATCAGAGCAATAACAAACCTTATATTATCGCAAAAAAGAACATTTCTCGTTGACACATTCACAAAGATCGTTATTATCTTTAATTTTCCCCTTAAACCTGATAAATGAGGACTAGTTTCTATTGTACTCACTGACAGCTACGATGTGTATATACATCAATGTTTTGAACGCATATATCTAGCCCACGGAACTCCCACTTTGACACACAACTACGAAATATAGGAAACCCGGATCTATCCATATATTGTAAACTTGGTAATTCTTCGTATGTGGTCCATAATCTCTTTATAAATATTATGTTATCATTACACCAGTGTATATCATTCTTTAACAAAAATGTCTGCCGCCTACGCTCGGCGCTTCTTTTCATACAAAAAACATCAATTTATTATAATTTTCTTATAACATAATACGTTATGGTAGCTGCGTGTTCAATAGGAGTTAATATTATTATTTAGTTACTCGACAAAAGAACATTTAAATTGTATATTACTATTACTTAATAAGAAGTCAGTTACATTTGTAATGTGATAGAGGAATATAATTTAAGATTACATCTGATATTTTATGTTTCCGTTCAAACCACTAACTTATTTTGAAGTGACCAGTGACCATATTTTGAGTTATAATTTATTCTGTTCTGAATTGTCCGGACCAAATCGCACAACAAGACAGCCGTTCATTATCTCAGCTTCTGACATCTCTATTCAGAACTGGCATATTTTATGAACTCCTAAACTAACAGGTATTAATAACAGTTACAAGTCGACGGAACGATATAAACTAAACCTTTTCTCACATAAACTCTAGTCACTTTCTTCTTGACCTCCCAAAAAGAGAATTTCACATGCAAATCTTGATATAAATCAAAATTAATAATGTTATTATAATTATCATAATTGCTATCAACGAGTAACCTGTTTAAATACGCGTTGCTATAATATAACTCGTATTTAAGTAACAAGAGTGAAAACGGTGTTAAGAAGTTGTTATTAACAACACTTATTTCGCTGTGACAAGTCGCAGGTCATTCTCACAATGAATCATTTGTGATTTATAGACAACATCTGGAACTGACTACCTTGCGTAATTACTATGACATTCTAAATTATGTTTGCTGCTGTAATTAAGAAAAAAGTTCTGTTTGTTTGTTATAATAAGGTGATTTTCATTATTTTTTCCTTTCACTGGTTGGTTTGAAGTCAAGAGAAAATTAAATAAATCATTCATTATAGCGTAACACGTTACCTACACACCTTCTTTTAGTCAAATTATAATCAGGTGAAACTTGAATAAAAATAAATGTTAAATCACAGCACAGAAAGTAGATAGAACCAAGTCTTTAGACGAGAAAATAATGAAATATAATATTACAAGCCCAACAGAGAAAATCGTGCAAAAATGCGACATTATTTATCAAAATCAGTGAAGAATTTGGAAAAGGTGTACAAGGTACTCGCTATCCGGTACAGGCGACACTTCACACCTCGATGCTCATTAATTCCGTAGATCGCAGAGATCAGGTACGAAAGTCTTTGAGTTTCGCGCACTCCAGTTTACGTTCAAAAGAGCCGACAGATTCTATCGGAGAGCCAAGATGGCCGGCCACTAAGCTTTTGACACCTCCCGGAGATGCGTGCCGGTGTCCGAATAAATATGAGAGATAAACTTTAAGGTCCGCCCTTGAAATGCCGCGAGAGAAGTCGACGGATGTCCAGTTTAAGTACTACGTGACAATGGGTCGATAAACCTACAATTGAGGAAGTTCGAAGATTTATCAGTGATAGGCTTAGCTTCTGAACTAATACCATCTTGCGTTTATTTCGATTGGTAATATCGATTCGAAAAATATCCAGTTTATTTGTCCTCGAATCGTATTCTTATATTATTTATATTGTATGTGTGTACATAAATAAATAAATAAATAAATATTCCTACTTACGATCAACTTTGTTTATTTTCAGACTTAGCTAATCTCCGTGTCATCTAGAAAAGATTTTACTATGATCTATTCTATAATATTTGCGCAGCAACTGTAGCAAGATGGTAGTAAACAAGTAAATTATTCCCAATTGTACCTCTACTATTTTCCTTGTCAGAAATTTGAATTCTCTCGACTGATGTTTGGAAAATCGCCAATGTTAAGTTACAATAACAAAGAGATTTGTGTGATTGTTCATGAATACTGATATTATGTTTGTGTTGGCAATAAACAATATGTAGTTATGTACAAGATCTTTCTATACAGGAGAAATCTTAAACTGTCGTGTATTTATTTTTCTAACTAGCCGTTAACTCAATTATCACACGACCTGAACCAGGATCTATATAAAATAAAAATCGACCCATATAAAATATAATTGTTAATTGATTTATTCATTTATGTATTTCTTTTTACAAGTAAATGTACTCTGTATCCCAAATAATTAAAGTGTATTTTGTTTTTGTTTGACAGGTGAAGGCGGCGGCGGCGGCGGGGGAGCGCGGCGGTGCGCGCGCGACGCGGCGTCGCCCGCGCACGCACCGCCGCCGACGCCAACCCCTGCGCCGCACGCGCCGGTCAAGAGCGAGCGGCTAAGCCCGCACGACTCCAACGCTTCCAGGTAAATATCACAAAAACAGTTTCCTTCAACAATCTACACACGACCGGTTACCAGAAGCTCTTAGATTATATACCCTTGAATGGATTACAGAGCATAAACTTTAGGTTACATTCATTAAGCAAGCGTGAGACAAATAACTTTTAGCGAAGAGTTTTGCTTTCATTAAAAGTTTACGAAGTCCAAATTTTACAGAAGCTTATTCATCACTGATACTGTCCATTTCGTGCCAAATCCGCAACAAAAGTCGTTCAAAAATAAAAACGAAAACGCAACCATCTTCACATACTGACAGTCCATCTCTTACACGCAGCAGTACAAGATAAGCATCGTATATCCGTATCCATCACACACGATGTTATCCACTCCACGGCGAACGAGGTAGTTGTGTTATAACTGTTAGATAGTGCTGAACGTGGTGTTTTGTCATAGATTTGTAAGACTTGATAACACCATGCAGAGGGAATGAGTAGCTTCTTACACCTTTACTATTAGGTATAATATGTAGGACACAATTGACAACGATACTAGAATTCTTGCGAGTTACTGAAAAATTTAAATAGGAATGTATCGAAGTTTTTGCTGGACTATTAGTTTAGTAAGAGTCGGTTTCCGATATCTAGCTAATAGTCTAGTTAATTGATCGTTTTGCGTATTGCTTAAATATTTGTATAGTTTAAAACGTTGCACAATTTATTGTAAATGTGAGAGCCCTGTAATTAATTAAATCAAATTAGACTAGTAGATTGCATTTATGTCAGCTTGGAGTTGTCATGTTCACTCAAAGATCTCGTTGGCGGTGGCACGTGCATTGGATCGCTCGATTCCCTACAAAATGGTTGAGTTGGGCGGTGCTAGGGTTCGCCAAATGTTCGTGAACGGGCACCGTCGATTGGAACTGGTCAGCTCCAGACTGTATCATTTTATTTTATTATCCTCAAGGTTATTTTCTTTTTCAGTCTTTCTGACTGGATTTAGGTGTTGCATTGTTCTCACATAATCGAACCAATAAAACTATGTAACTAGAGAATTGTATTGTAAACCTGATTGAAAAAGAGTAACCTATGGAGTTTTTTGCTCGTTCTTCTCCATAGGAATCTACGCCTTGGAATGAGCAACTAGCTTCACTTATAAATTTTTGTTGTTTGACGTTCAAAAGTGCCATCCTGGTCTAATAGAAATAAATGATCTTTTAATCCTCAACCAGGTCTCGTAGTGTGACCCCATCGACGTCATCGTACCCCGGCACGCCACCAGAGCGCGGTAGCCCGCACGCGCCCGCGCCGCCTACGTCTGCGCACCCACCACGCAACTATTCAGACATCATGCGCTCACTCGCCGCGCGGTACAACACACATAACAACAATGAGTAAGTACCCTTACCAATGTGGTAAAATATATCTTAGGTACTTCGTATAAGGACTAATTTGAGAAATAACATAAAATACGATTAAATAATTCGATGATGTTTCTCCCAGAAAAATCGCCAGAGTAGAGTAGTAGAGGTTAGAAGAGATCTAGAGACTTGTTAAGCAGACGTGGTTGACAGAGGCAGTACAGTAACCATTGATTGTTTAGAAATATTTTAACCATGCATAAGTCAGGTAGTTCAACGCAAAACCTGCCTTAATCAATTCGTTACACCGATTTTCATGACTACTATGAATCATGTATCATCGGAATATGGAAGGTACTTGATGATATGTTTATAAGTTCATCAAATACAGATTCGGTATAAAAACTTGAATAATAAAAACTCTAATTAAACAACGCAACTGACATAAGAAGCCAAAATACAATACAAACGCCATAATTATACACTCTGAAGGTAATTGCAGATGAATACAAATAAATTAGAAGCATAAACCACCACCTAATGCATTTCGGTTACTGTCGGATAAACGCAAAACATATTAAACCAAATTACACTCTTCGTTTGTAGTTCAAAATTACAACATTAACCTTGCTTCCATTTTAAATAATTGTAGTTTTAGAAGATACCTAGATACATGTGTAAAATTCCTAAATTAATACGCAGTCGTTATCGAATAATCCATTTCCGATTAATTATCGATTCTCAATTCGATACTCGCATTCATCAATCATTTTTCACACGGTCGGTGTCACAATAGTATGCGACCCGCGGTTCAGCGACCGACGCTAGTGATGCCCAACATCGATTAGCATATTAATCGATTTGAAAACTTACGTTTAGTCGACAAAATTTACATGATTCGTGAGAACCGATGCTGTCCGTGTGAACTTATGTTATATTAATGAATTGGTCATCTGAGGTCGCCGAACTTTGTCTTTTTTAATTACCAAATACGACAACGTGAGCGCCGGCTGTGGCATCTATTTGCATTAGTTAAACGGAATTTCTAACTGACGACATGTTTGGATCGTATCTAGTAGAGATAGAATTTCAAAAAGCTGAGAGATGTTTTATTTCACTCGCCTACAATAAATTAAAATGAGATGTTTATATCTTTCTTTTATTTATAGTTTTCTCAAATTAATAAAAATATCGCGATCATTTGTCACTTTTGCTCTGTGGTACAAGCGCAGTTGTGAGTGTAAACTACGCATTATTTCAACAAGGTGTAAGATTGGGTAATAAATTCCTGTATTTTATTATAGCAAAGTGACATTAACTTCTAAACAGATACTCGTTAATTTTCATCAAATAACATCGAAATTGTTTTGATATCGAGACACTTAATTATCACTGACCTCTTTAATTTATTCGTCTTGATTTGTATTAGGATAAATATTTTGACTGTCGTTTATCATTCTTGTAAAGTTATTATTAAAATATATATTCGGAGAACAGTTTAGTTTTTATAATAAAGAGAGGTTTAATTATTAACTCACATCAGAATCTCACATGGATATAATAGAGATTGTTTGTTTATACTACAGGCTACATTACTCACCAAGACAGACATTTTGTTTATACAATATACACCGTAAAAATGAAAAACTAATCATTTTCCACTTTTCAGCTATTACCACCGCATGAATGGTTTCGGCGAGGTGCGTACATCGGCGCCCGCGCAGGACGCGACAGACGCGCCGCTCGGCGGACTGTTTACAAAACTAGCCTGCAAACAAGGTGGACCACCACGGCTGCCTGCCTTCCCTGTCATGCTGGATATGAGCTCCACTAAGGTGAGCTACATATTGTCATATTTGTTAAAGGGGTAGGCAGAGACACAGATCTCCTTTTTATCACCTTAATTATGGCACCAGCACCAGTCGGTAGTTATAAACTCAGTGCCATGCTGTGCAGGAATGGAACAGTTTTAAGGAAATTAGATGACTGATGATGATAATGATATTAGATTGATTGCATTGGGTGAATCGGCAAAAGAAAGATCCACAGTTCCGAATTCCGTGACAACCACATTTCTTACATTTTTGACCTCGAACAGGAAACCAATCTAATTTTCCAATTTCTAAATTAAATAAATAAAAAGAAATTGTGCTACCGACAATGGTTTATTAGAAATTATATCTAATTTGAAATAGTATTGTGGTCAGTATCTAATATATAAAACGTTACTTTCTTTAATTTAGGATAATAGGAAGCAATTTGTATCTTTTTCGAAAATGTCTTTGATTTCAAGTGCTTGAACACAAACAGGAAATTCCAAATCAAAAATAATTTTTGAAATATATGCATTACACATATCCCTATAATTATTTCCAAACAATTTCTTAAGGTAATTATATTTTAAGAGAAAAAATACAGTTTCGTATTTATTACTTCATAATGTACATTACTTAAGGCAAGGCCACTGCCCCTATGAAATAAGTTACGCTCAGATGAGTTTTCATTTCAAAAGCGTACATTTGTAATTCATATTAATTATATACACAAGTGCCCACTGACCTTCCTGTTTTAATTACACATCGTACACCGTTTCATAGTTCACGGCTGTGATTAAAATGTCTCGTAAAATTCATAAAGCGTTATCGAGCGAAGCATCTTCATCGAGCGAGGCTCGTTTATGTTAATTTGAACCTCTTTAAAATCATAATGCGCGGTGAGCACCTCGCTTCCTTTCCACTAATAATGGACGCAATTAAATCTGATAAGGCCCACGACCTTTACACTTCCTCCGGTGTTGCATAGACATAGTAGAGAGTGTTAATTGCCGGTCGTCTGCAGAGCGTGCGGTGCGCTCACAATCGGCAGGGTAATAGTGTTGCCCCGCCCCCTGCTCGCCAGCGAACCGTCTCGACTCGACTCTCCACTGTAAAAGGAACTGGAGCTGCACTAATTGGCCGCGGCACGCGCCGCGCATGCGCACCGGCTCGCCCCGCGACACGCTAGTGATGGGATGTGAAATCGAAACACAACTCGACTTTAAAATTAGTTGACTTTTTGCACACGAGTGCAATAAGAGACACGATAAAATTGCAGCGTGGAATCATAACAGTTATTCGATTTCGACTTTCTAGCTAAATTGCAAGCGACATAAAGCGATCATCACGTGTTTTTTCGTAATTTCATATGATACGCAGCCGAGATCAAATTGCTGCCGGGGCATGATTTGTTACATTTCTCTTTACGGTTAAAGCGATCTATAAATAGTAGTTTAAATTTATTTTCACCTATAAAGAGAAACAGGGGCGAAGCGGAAATAAATCGGTAAGATTTATGTCGGATGCTCAGCTTCAGCACGTAGCCGGCAGGCGCTCGGCGCGGTTCGGTGCGGCGTGCACGCGCGCCCACTATAACAGCCGTGTTCATTTCACGCGCGCGCGCCTCCGTCTGAATTTTATTCAGAATTACCCTGCATTCGGCTTTTTTAGTACGCGTGGCAATTAAAAAAGATAGATTGCAATTTGACCCGCGGGCGCGGAGCGTGACGTTCGGAACGTTATTATGATGAATGCTCGCCACTTACGATACGAGAGCGCTCTCGATCAGATAATAGCCTACTAGCTCGCCTTTCGTGTTTGCTTAGCATTGAACTGTATGCGCCGCTTGATGGACTTCTGAGTAATTGAGTTTTTTTTTATTACAAAAACCGGCTTATTGATCAAGTTCATTATTGATTGCTTGAACTTTGAAACATGAAAAAATGCTATCTACTTCTAAATTGCCTACTTTCAATCAGCAATTTAGTTGTCTGCCATCAATTTTGTCGAAATTTGGTGGATAGCTAAACGTGTCCGTTTGTCTACAGACGTTGCTGGCGATATCGCGGGTGGGTCGAAGTGGGAGGTCGCGGCGTAAGCGCAATGGCGCGGGCGCACCCGAGCACTCGCCGCTCGACCTGTCCGCGGCGGGCGAGAGTGCCGCAAAGCGCGCGCGACTCTCTGCCAGCCCCAGCACCAGGAGCGACAGTGATGACAGGGACCGAGTCTCTAATGATGGTAAGTCACAATATTTAGACCACATAAACCTATGACAATAAGTTAAAATACACACAGATTACAGTCTATTTGAGAAAGCTTTGACTACGAAGTTACAATGATAACTAGTTCATTGTATAGTTAGGAATACAATTGACAACGTAATAATTTTCCGTTCAGTGTTTTATCTTATCGCCTTCAATAATTCGATTATACGATCAATACTATTTTACGATCACCCACGAGTATAACTTGATAGTCTTAATTTCTGTTTGAAACGTTTTCGATGTGATTTAACGAGGCAATAAATTAAATTTATATGACGTTAATTTTTCCCTTAGAACGTAGTGATGCGCGTGGTGAGTGCCTATGCGCAGAAGCCCGTGCCCGCCTCTCCGCCTGGTCAGTCGACGAAGTTTGTGACTTCATAAACTCAATCGATATCTGTGCCGAATACGCAACGGTAAGTGCACATCACTATTACTTTTACATTTCGAATATAGTTGATTGGTTGACAGATATTACGTAGAACAGAAAATTGAATTGATGTATAGTAAAACGTAAAATATCGATACAATCTAGTAGATTATTTTATAAGCAGGAAATTGCATCTATAAATTTTATAACACGATGATCTATAACTAGTTGATGCGTCGTAAATATTGAGTGAGTCGAGCTGAGGGCGTCAATCAGGTGCTTCAATTAATTGCAGAGAAATGAAGCTCTATTACAACAATAATAAGGCACTGCTTGATTTAAGTACCATCGTCGGATCGAATCAGTATTAAAGTGCAACGAGTTGATACAAATTCGTTCACGGAGCCCGATAGGGTCGATTTACACGCCAACGGATCTTTGAAGAAGCGTGCTGAGATAAAATCAAACGTGCACTCTGAGTTATATTGAACTATAACATAAATTGACAGAATAAAAATGTTTGTAAGAGTATTATGCCACTTGTAACATTATCAGTTCCTTCTATAACACCCAGGTATTGTCACTAGAATTGTAGATCAAAATTGACTAAACACAAATACGTATTTAACTTTAATTAATACAATATTCACATTACAAGTTTCGGACATCATACAGCCAGTATATAAAACAACTAGCCAGTACATATAACCTAAACTGAAAAAAGGCGTTAATGTGTTTTCAAATGTAATACTTTGCAGTAAGGTAGCAAATCTATTAAAGACCTATCGGGTAGCTTTACATGCTGCTGTCTATACCAACAATGAAAGACGTCATTCCATCACCTCCACAACTATGATTACTAATAATAGTAATAATAATTGACCGGTACGCGTCAAACAACCATTTTAAAATGAACTATTCCATCAATAGGCGTTCCGTACTTCATTAATTGACCTACGAAAACAGCTCTTATTGCTGCGTAATAAAGTTGTAATGTGTTTTTGTATTTTTTTCTGAATATTTTAATTGCGTATAGTGAAAGGGACAAAATAAAACAAGAAGTATTGAAAATGAATCATAATAGCATTCGTTATAATTATTCGGAGGCTCATATTATGTAAGTACATCTTTGTTAACATAGCTTTCTACATAGGTACACGGCTACTGGGTTTCATCATTAAAAAATATATATTCTCATTTGTTTTATTGTTTTTTTATTGTGCCTGTATTTTTGTGTAAGAAAGTGTTACGGAATGAATTTTATTTTAAAAGTAGGTTTTATACCCAAGCGATCGTATTTAAAAACCTTTCATTAATTTGATGTTAAATAACGGAAGCTCTGAAATGACTCGTTTTAGAATGATGTATTAAATGTTTACATGAAGCATTACAGGTCACAAAACCTTATTACTCCACCTGGTGGACGAGCCACTAAGTATTCTGACGTGATCATTATTTTACACTTTTCAATATTTGCATACAAGAGCATAGATTAACTATAAATAAATTGAACTGCGAAGCCAACGCACGTGATTGACATAAGCTTTGACATAATGTATCAAATGTCAATATGCAATGAACTTTTCTTGACATAATTTATCGAATGTCAACATGTCATGAACCCCTCTTCTTCTTGACTAAACTTCTATTCAAACTAACCTCTAAGAACATAAAATGAAAGACACCACTATCACTTACAGTATTTATTGTTACTTCATTGTAACGTTAAGTCCATGTCAAATTCATTATAAACGGTCCTTGAATGGTAATAAAGTTTAAACTCTATTGACAATTACTTAGGTTTACAGCCTTAAGTAGGCTTATTGTCACGTTGCTACGTCAACTCTACTCGGTACTAGGGAAGGTTTGTTAATCTGATCCTATGTACTTTAACAAATATGTACTATATGGATGTACGTACGTATATATATGTACGCTATATCCAGTTATGTGTTTTATACTATGACGTATTAATGCTTCGTATGCTAACGGTCCAAATGGAAAATACTTATCGTAACCAATTTTCCACAGGAACATTTAAAGCGTAAAATCTATCAGCTCGCTAAACTCTTGACTGAAACACTAAATCAAGACCTAAAACAGTACCTAAAAGCCTCAATTTCCTCAATAAACAATGGGTACAAATCAAGGTTTTACTGAACATATGAAGCTTTGTAATTTTACTTACGACACACACCCACACACACACTACTGACAACTAAATCAAGACAGATAAACAACTCAACGTTTCATTTATAAATATTATACAACCTATCACTAGTTAAATGACGTGAAGCAACGCTTACGTTGTGATTCGTCATGTGAGTGAGGTTACCGGAGGCCCAATTACCCTCCCCTTCCCCAATCTCCCCAATTCCTGATTCCCCAACGATCTTCAAACTCCTAATCCCCAAAAGGTCGGTAACGCACTTGTAACGCCTCTGGTGTTCCAGGTGTCCATGGGCGACGCCGATTGCTTATCATCAGGTGATCCGTCTGCTCGTTTACCGGCTTATGCCATAAAAAAAATACACAAGAAGTTCTATACAAACAACCAAACGTAAAGCCAAGAACCCAAAAGCAATAAACAAAATCACAAACCCCGCCAATAAACAAAAGTCCGCCATTAAAACAGTATGTAAGTTAACAAGCATATTGTTATAAACATTTCTATTAACTGATTGAGTAATAAAATAAACAACGCTCTCTGTGCCCAGGCGCACAATGAGTGCCGTGACGCGAATCATACCATAACGTCGCCCTATTTAGGGTTGAGCTAAGTAACATTAACTTTAGCTTACTTTTAAGATCACCTGATTAATTCAGAAAGTGTTTTTGAAGATTAGAACTTCTGTGGTTTTAATCTCGTAGTTTTCGTAATCTCATAGTTTAATTTATTATTTTTTATTTATCTCCTATTCATTTTATCTTTATTTTATTCATTTTTTTGTAAGAAATATAGAAAGTTTGTTATATTTATATCAACAAAAAAATAAACTTAAATAACTTAAGCATGAATAAATATATACAACTTAAAACACAAATAACTAAAAACTAAAAAATTATACACCTTAAAAAAGAAATTACTCTAAACTTAAATCATTAAAAAATAAACTTTTCTTGCCGCTATCGTGAGGTAGGGTACTCAAAAGACTGGAATATCTAAATATCAATTAAGCCAACTAATAAAAACTTATATATATAACGTCTAAAATGTATCTACAGTTGAACGCAGGTTAGTAAAGCAATGGTAACTTCAGGCTCCAGAAAGATTATTAAATAATCTCTAATATGTAGTTCTTCCGCTGAAGGTAACATCTCGATCATATTTCAGCAGAAAAGGTAAGAAAGAAACGTAACCGAATTTCTTAGAATCATAAATTCTATTCTTGTCTCCGTCAGAATAAGTTTCCTTGGCCTCGACAGCCCTGCGCATGCATCACATTACACAACAAAGTATAATGCACAAAGCGTCGAGCATGGCATCGCATGCATTATGTCAATGTGAAGCAACACAGACGTGGGAAACGGCGGAAGATTTTAAATTTCCATAATATTTGTATCGCGAAATTGCACAATGTCGGTGAACGGGCGAAGACATTTGATCTTGTTACATACGAGCGCCGAGAAATGACAATACTACAGTAAAAACGATGTGAGATGTGTATCTAATTCTTTTGATAGAATGTTAAACAATAAAGACTCAATACTGGGAATTTGATAGTAAAGACATATTGTAATGTTTCGGATACTCAAAAAGTCTAATCTGGCCATAGCATACTAAAATTCACATAGTCAACCCAAACAAAAATATGTCTCGAAATATCTTAGATTTACAATGATATTTAACAAAAAACTGCGGTTTTCCAACAATTTCGTACTCAGTTTACACAAGTTTAACATGTCTTTGAACTCTAAAAAATACCAAATTAAATATAGGCATTTTCAAGTATTTAAGCTAAAGTATGTAAATAATAAAATAGCTCGTACAAACACTTGGAATTATGTTAATAACTCGCAGGGTCAATAAATTCACATACATGATAACATGCGCTAAGGAGGTACCACACAATGTAATTGTAATTTTAAAACAAGACTCCCCACGCGGCCGGTCGTGGCATAAAATTGTAGAAATGACACTTTGTCCACCCATGGAAATTTATAACCTGTGGCCTGCGATGCCTTTCAAATAGGGATGTGAATGACAGAACACATTTAACTTCTCGTACCGATGTTTTCGTTGTAATCTTTTTACGTTATACCGAAATCAGTTCCATATTTCTTTCATCTTAGAAGAAATCAAAATAATTCCCATTAAAACGTTAACAATTGTGTTTAAAATTTCACAATCGTGGGAAGGTTTGCCAAAAATTCCTTATAGATACGTAGATATTATAAATAATCCTTTAATAAAAACGCACATTCCCAAATGACCCGTTTTTATATAACCGTACCCTTATATAACCGTGCGAAGCGCTGCCTCCTCGCAACCCAGCCATCGCGAAGGACACACCGGGCGTCGGGGATCGCGGGACGATCTCCGGCCACCGTAAGCGCGGGCCTGCGGACGGCGAGCATGGGTGGCTCCCCGTCCGACCAGAAACAGACCCGAGTGTACGGCGCGTCGCGTTCCGCGCGCGCCTCATAGAGCCATCAGACCACCACAGATGGGGCCCAATAGGGCCGATGCCGATTCGGAGTCGCGGAGAACCTAACGGGTAACCGGGGCTCCGGCTCGACGTGCAGGAGAAGGAACGGGGTGGTTTTTAGTCAGTAAGAGTCTGACACTCCCTCCCGCCTCACCCAGGCGGGGGCAGTCATTCGATGATTTTCCCCCCTTAAAAAAAAAAAAAAAAAAACCCTTATATAACCGTATTAATCAACAATTTTTTTCAAATCGTCAAATGGCAATATTCCCAAGCCAGTCGGTCGCTATAATATCACGAAACATTACGGTAGCAATATCGAATTACCGAGTGATTTATACACAGAAGTGTCGTGCCGAATTGAACGAACTAAATTAATTGTTCTCCCGATAATAATATC